TTATAGTATGATATGATCTTTTTTATTGTTATTACTTATTGTTTATCGTCCAAAATTGTCGCTTAGCTTATAAATTTTGGGGGGTTTCAACCCCCTTGCGTACGTCAGTGTTCCAATGTACTTATAATTCAATGGAGTTTAAGTAGAATTCAATTTATTCATCACTGAGATAACTTTTACTATTTGTACTAGAAGAGTAAAGCGCTAGCTAATTTTTTTCTTAAGGCGTTTTCGCAGTTGTAAATCAAAATTCAAAATAAATATCTTGTAATAAAAATAACGTAGGTTTATGGAATTACTTTACATTATAATAATATGGCGTTTTTCGTGGTCGAATTGAAGCTATCACGCGAATTCGATACAAGTAGTTTGAAAAATCTCCGATTTGTGTGGGAATTATCTCTCAACGACTAAAAGGAGTGGTCGTGCGCTGACCGCGTGTAAAGTGAAGTCATCTTTGAGAACTACTATCAAGGAGCAAGTAATTAGTAAAAAAAAATTACTGTCAGTTTATGAACCTGTCATTTGTATTAAGTCGTAGGTGAAAATTATAAGCACTCAAGGATCAAGATAATTTTAGGTAAATGTAATATTTGCCAATTTTTCCCAGAATTTGTTTAGCTACACATTATAACTCGTATATTTTTTCAAGCTCTTATAAATTTGTTGATAATAATCAACGAATCATTTTGCTAAAGCTGTCCTAGTTGATTTATTGTTAAATATACAAAGATTTTATTACAACAGTATCAATACTCAATGATTGATGCCCCCGACCGGTCAATAAAGATAATCGACCTGACGCCCACGTATATTCCCATTACACGTGTCTCGTGTCTTTTGAGCAAAAACATTTTGACACCTATATACGTTTAATCGCCACAGCAGCTACCCACGTGATCTGCCGCGGATTTCAACCGCAAAATAAAATTGAACAAAGAATTCCACATAGACTATTTTAATACAATAATCTACCACATAATACAACATAAGAGATTGCGTGTAAAATAATTAACGTTTATTCAGTAAACGATTTCGCCACCCACCGAACAGTAATTTAATTTAACGGTCATACTATCACAACGGAATTAATACATTCTACGCCGATTCTAGATGATTTATGAAGGGAACACTTTACTTAATAATTATTATTATTTTTTTTTTATGATTTAATACATTATGTCTCTTTAATTTTTCAAATACTCATTATTTAGCGTTTCTTCATACGTAAATGCAACATTTTACAAGAGTTAGTACAGCAACAAAAGTAAAGTAAACTTTGTAAAGTTTTACTGTCACCTTTAAAAGATACCTTTAGGTTAATATATGAAGAATTTAGTCTGTTGGACTGGATTATAGAAGAGCGATTGTACTATTGATTTCTAATTGTAAGCAATGATCACCGCCAAAACAGGAGAGAAATCTTCTATACTTAAGACAATTCACAATGATTCGATTTTATTTTATTGTTTTATTAACTATATTCAAATGGTAGACAGTACCATTTGATTATTCAAGTTCACAGTGCATAATATATTAGATTGTGTGTGTTATTTACTCTACTAAATGCAATACGAACGTGATGCTTATAAAGGCTCTACAGCGATTTAAACGAGGGTAAATGAAATAAATGCATATATTATTATAATACAAGATAAATGGATTATGGGTGTATTTCATGCTCTACAGTTGGAGTAACAAGCATATAATATTTATAAGGTTCAATGAACACCCGTGACAATTACTATTCGGCTTTTTTCCATTTGTTCATCGAGGACGTCATCTATAAGCTAAGGAAGTCGCTTCTTTTTGGTTTATTAACTATGTAACTGTTTTCTCGATATAATTATTATTATATATTGTTTAACGAATATAATGTATTGATATTCTTAATACATAACGTACTAGTGACAAATTGGCTATTGTTTTTGACGAATAATGTCAACAGAACAGGAAGTTTATGACATTTGCCGCGTGAGTAGAGTCAACACACACAAAAGAACTTCTATATACAAACGTTATTTAAAAGAATAAAATCATAACTTACAGTAACTATAAGTATAACTGTTATATTGTCAATTTTTCAAACATACGAAAAAAAGTTTATTAATACTTCAAAATTTTACTTTAACTAAAATGTATAACAAAAATGATCCTAACAATTTAAAAAATATTCTTTAAGAATATTTAACCAAATTTGAAAATTATTTGATGTAATAAATATGATAACATGATAACCAAAATATCATAGATTTTTTTAATCATTCGAGACAAAATATTATACTTGACTTTTTAATGTTTCACTTATTGTTAAAAGAGTTAAAATAACAACTCTCCTTATAAAATATTTTAAGGTAGATGCAATCAAAAAATGTCCAATTAAAATTTTTTTTTATTAAACAATTGTAAATTTGACTCAATTTTACCAGAATAAATTTGGTTACTTTTAAATAGATTTAGAATTGTGAATTTATAATTTTAAACCGTTTGTAAACTCTAAAATATAAAATTTAATAATTGGTTAACTTTTATTTGAAATAGAATATATCTCTAACTTTGTTTAATAAAAATATCTGAAGCTTCATGAATAAAGTTGGAAGTGAATAGTCTCGAAAAATGTTATTAGGGTGATTTTATATCATTAGAAATATTATTAATTTAACGATTAAACGATGTGAACTTTTTAATGATCTATTAAATTACGTATTTACAAGTAACATCTTAAATGCTAATAAATATTGCTATAATTTGAATTTAATTATGTCAAAATAAGGGTTAGAGGAAGTGAGTTATAAACTTCCACAATAAAAATAGGTTCATGTTATAAATTCATTTTTAATTCCAATTTATGAGACAGTAAAAAAAATTCTTATACGTAACATGCCACGAAAAAATCTCGATCACTGCATCAAAATATTATTTTCATAAGGATCTGTACTTGATGTTACATAATTATTTTAATACCTTTCTGATTTACAATGTATAAATCATAATGCTTTATTTAATAACTTAAAAATGCCTTAAGCTTAAAATCGATAATACAAGTGTATTATATCATTTAATTTAAACAAGCTGCCCATTATATAATAGAGTAACTGTAAATGAAAAAATTGTACAAAATAGTTTAACTTAAATAATGTTTATTATTTGTCTGAAATTTCTCTATTCTGCATAAAAAAATTAAAAACGTCTTCATTGAATTGAGTTTTATTTATTTACCAGAAAATTATTGTTGTAAACATACTTTTTGGTCGAAAGTAATAATTACCCAGGTAATATGATGACTTCTTGAAATTTCCAATAACAATAAATGTGATGGACAAATTAGCATAAGTCATTTACATTTCACTATAAGACGAATGCTAATTATTTTATGCTTACTATTCTGATGTATAAGTATACAGATAGTATATGCGTGTTTGACTATTTCCTGGTTCTGCTACTCGTTCAATATTAATTAAGCTGTTAAAAAATACTCCTTGATTTCTATCTTGACAGACGTCTCGGTTCTAAATGCGCAATCACGTACTTCCGATGGGGCTCCCCATTGAAATCGAAAGCTGGTTACATGTAATGAGACGTACAGTACGTGGTATATTACAACGTAAGATTTAAAATTATATTGAGCATAGAAGTATTGTCAAAAATTATTAATATTCTGTAGAATCCGAAAAATTCTGTAAAGTTTATTAACCTTGGAAGATAAAAATGTAAAGCCTTTTTATGAATTGATGATATTGTATGAGAGTATTTGAAATGACCAAACCGAAAAATAATTTTTTTTTTGTTTTCGTGCAGTTTTTATACTCAAAAATATTTTTAAATGATTTGTTTAAAATCAAGAGATTAATAAAATATATTAAGTATAATAACTTTCCGTGAAATTATTTTTAATTCACATTTATCAAATTTATTAAAACAATCTACATAACTATAATTAGTAACTTCAAGTAAAATTATCCACATATAATTTTTTTTTTTTTTAATCCTATCGTTATATTGTTATATTTTGAATGTATTTTAATAGTAAAACAAAAATATTAATTAAACATTTAAGTATCCTATCAATAATATGGTTATTTATTGGAAAATTGACCAGCACTTTTTAAATAAACAATTCAGGTGTACTGAACAAACATAAATGTTCAAATATAGCGATTCAATATTATTCATAGCTATTATGACATAGCTGATTATGTACACATAACATATGTTCAAATTGGTTGTCATGATTTAAACACTTCACCAACAAATAGTCAGTAAAATGACACCTTTAGTCAATGACTTTGAGGATATTTGTTAACACCGTTATGTTTGGCAATAAATTTTACACTTAATGAATTCCAAACATTTGTAATTCTCAAATATATCTAATGAATTCAACTAGTTTCAAAATTTTCCCAAAATGTTTAACTGGTTTTTTACTCGAGAATTAGGCGTGTTTGATATTAATTTTCAATTTGTTTAAAAAAAATGTTGATATTATCTATGTTAAAATGCTAATTGATTGACGTTTTATTTAAAAAATAATAAATTATCTAATGTAATAATCAAATAGATTTACTAGATAAATCGTCAGTGTTTTATAATAAATATACTCATGGTTTTAGAATACCTGGATATTTTTAATTTTACATTAAAATTTATCATATTGAATATATTTAACACAAACCTAAAAAATAGTAGTTCTAAACTTAAAATTCTATATACTTATAACTGTGGGAGTTATCATCATTATTACACAATCTTAACGTCAGCCAATAGCTACAACTATCGCAAACCTGACCTTGACTTAAAACAAGTGGTTGACTTTTTAAACTGATTTGAAGCATGTTTTATTAGTTTAATTTTTGTTAGTAGCGACAAGTACAACAATGACTGCGACTCGTTATATTTAATGATTATAATGATTCGGCGACACGCGTGAGGAAGAAGAGCATAAAACAATTGCATGAACACAATAGGTATATGTGTGTATAAGATAATCAGCAGCGTTTTTAGGATATCGCAACAAACTGTCTGTGTTGGATTTGTGTCAAATACAAAAAAGTAAGGTCGAACGGCAGTTGTTAGTGGCGGTGAGTGGTAGTAGGCGAGCCGGAGGAGCCCTTATTAGGAAACTGGCCGTCTGTCCGTCCCGTCCTTTAATATTGTTATTATAACGCCAACCTTGCCCCCAACACACAAATGGCGAGTATTAGTCATCTTCATTAATCAAATACACTTTAAAATGCGAAACTCAGTAAACTATATTATAACACAGGAAGTCGTTTACCATGTATATGTACTGAAAGTCTGGACAACCAGCCTATTCGGAACAATACGATCAGTTGTACAGCACAAGTCACGATTTACAGTGCGATCCAAATGAAAATCGTATAAACCTAATATGATCTGTTTGTCAGTTGCAAACAACTAAACAAGATTTTTAACGCGATACGAGTAGAATATGAACGTACAACTCTTGCATATAAACCTTGATCCTTTATGGTTATCAGTTGCCACCTACCAAATATAAATTTCGCATAATACACTTGTAACATATAACATCTCTACCTAAGCATTAAAACTCTATGGTAATTATATTTTCAAACATCTAGGTCTAAATTCTGTACTTGTTCTATTTCTTTTATCACAAGCGATTGCTTGTTTTAAGTACTTGACATTTACTTCGATTAAGAATAATCATTAACTTTATTAAACTTATATTACGACCAAAAGTTTTACCATAAGTGGCTTAGATGTACTTAAATTAATACAGAAGAATTAATATAATCCATTATATTTAAAAACCATCTTAAATAATTAATCAAGAAAAATCATGTATGAAATATAAAGAATAATTTGATACCTTCGAACTGTATAGTATTATTTTAAATAATATATAAAATATCCTCAGATCAACGTTAATGGAAAGTTAAATTAATCGTTTAAAGATCTTATGATAAAAAATGTAATTAAATATCAATAAGCGTGGTTTGCCACAATAACAATAAATGAGTTTTAAGATCATTATCTAAATAGAACATTAAACTCATTCCTCAAAATTTATCTTATTTTTTTAACGTTGTGTAGAGAATGATTATTCTAGTTATTCATATTTATTATTTATGTTTAAAAATACTTAACTGTAGCATATTAAAATTAATGAACTACATTATTCATAAATCTCAAATTAAAATGTTTGTTTTCAAAATGTCAATAGCTTTACGTCTTTACTTTACAATTTAAGTTCTAACTGACAACTGTCAAATAATCATGAAGAAAATGATCCATATGAGATAATTAAATAACTCAAGTTTAAATTTAAACTAATAATTTTGACACGAAACGTAAATTCTATAAAAACTTCAAATGTTTAAAACGTTTAAAGAACTAAGTTAATTTAGTGACTTATTGAAACGAATAATGACATTTTATTAATTTTTGTGTGTACGATAAACTAATACATATCGGCGTTTATATATTTGACAACTGAAAAAATAATTTTTATTTGTCAAACAAGTTTACGTTGATCTTGTTAACAACACTGACAAGTGACAAAATTAATGAAATATCTAATAAAAATAATAATAGGTAATAAACTAGTGTAACTTCGAATTAGGGTGTGTTAAGTGATAATAACAGAGCTGAGCCCTTTTTTTGACTTTTAATGTCCGGCCATCAAACAAGTAATTGAGAATTAAAAATATAAGAAATGAAGAATAAGAGATTATTACCAACAGCCAAAACGCTAAAATCAAACTAAAATCCGCATGCAGTATATTTATTTAGTAATTTAGTGAGGTTGAATAAAAAAACCTACATAAAAAGATTTGTTACATCCTGAGGACATTCTAAATTAACATAATTTTTATACCGACAGTGTTTATCATTACTATTTCAACAGCCTAATATTATAGTAAACAAACACCAAAGAAGTGTTGACTAGTTAAGTCAAATAATACATTCGAATTTACTTACAGAAAAATTTAACTTACTATAACAATAATGATACTATACCCCTTAAAATCATTTAATCAAAAATAATGATCATTTTTTTATGTACCAACATGAAATATTTCTCTATAGTATTTTTAAATTTTTCTTGCCATTATTAATTTTGAACCAAATTCATTATGTATTTTCCATTTAAGTGACTTAAATATTATAAATATAATATTAATGAAAATGTAAATTTTTGACTAACATTTAATTTCAAAATCCATTTAAATTAAAAATGGACACAATTTTTTATAAGTACGATAGGAAATACTCAATTAAAATTAAATTTACAACTAGTATTTCATATTTCAAAATATTAATAAAATTCAGTTAAATTTTAATGAAAAATGAAATATAAAATAATATATTTATACATATACATACTGAGTCTGAGTGAATCAAGCAATTACCTATTTATACTTGACTTTAAAATTAAAAGACACTTTATTTTCGCACTAACAACAGAATAATAAAATACACCAAAGCATATTCTAAGGATTTAAAAAACACATGCGGTAAACGAGTTGATCCATGACGGGAACGTGTTAATCGGAGCGGCATAAGAAACAAACTACCGTGACAAGGCGCCACCCGAGAAGACACCTACGGCATGCGTTTCTCGATATTGCCTATAATATCGAAGTTCCCTTTCCATATTTTACTCAAATACAATGTGTTATAGATTACCGTATGAAGCTTGTTACCAATCATGTGCAAAATATGACTAACAGTAGAAGCATTTCATTATTTTAAGCTCAGTGAACACCACAAGTTAAACGTTAAAAGAATTTCAAACTAAGATAAAAAAAATACCATTACGTGAAAAAGAACACTAAAATTCATTCCGACTAGCAAACCATACAATTAGGTTAAAGATTAAAGCTTATTTGAGCTCCGGAGGCGGATATTATCAACAAATACCGACAACCAAAAGATGGCTAATTTTTATATAAATTAAGATATAATAAAAAAAAAAAATCATTATTTAAGGTAGGGTCCTATTATCCATGGACCCTGGAGACAATCTAAATCTGTAAATAATATATACAAGGGCTGATTAAACATTTTTTAGGAGGGAACGATTCAAACTTTTTAATACAGTTAAGATGCTGATAACCATTTTGTTTTTGTTCAAAACTTGCCTAAAGAAGTGACGAGTATAAAAAAAAGCTTTTTAGAGGTAAATTTTAAAAATACCTACTAGTTATTAAATTTACAAGGAGGTTTTCTCGTGTGTGCTTTATAATAGTTTTTATTTTAGTTACGTGTACAATAAATAACTTATTAACATTTTACGTCCATTTTTAAAATATATAAAATTAAATGGATTAAAAATAATAATCATTTTTCTTAACTGTTTAAAATAAATCCATGAAGATGCTGTAATGTAGCTCAATGATATGGAGGTTTTCTACAACAAATGATGAAATATTTAATCAAATGAATACTTTAACATTATATAAAATACCCTATCATAAAGGAAATTGAGAAGAGCCTCTGATTGCTCATATAAATTTCATTTACTATTATCCTTTTAATTCAAAAACTGTTTTATCATATTGAGAACAGAATTCAGAGCTATAATAAATTTAAATTACATTAATTGTTACATTTTCAGTAGCCAAGGATACATCGAATCAAATAAAATTTAACGATAGTTATAAATATAATTATCGTGTTAGCAATCAGTAAAAATTTACGTGTCCAAAACGTGCAAGTGACCATATGGTTGTTCCAAGGACTTAAGCTGGTAACATTGAAGAATCAGCATCTGGGTCATCGTGTATGTAGTATGATATTTTATGTGTACTTATATATTTATGTACAATTCACGAAGATGTATTACTAAATTGTACTCTTCAACATCAATAAATATTTAAAATCAAAATACAACCAATATCAGAACAAGCTTCTATTAGAATTCAAACATGAAACACTTAAAATACAATTCGATACTTCCGAGGTAATTAAATTAATTAATTCAAGACGCCTTTTTACTGCTATGAAAAGTTTTCTGAAAATCCCAATTTAATTGGGATTTTACATACTATTTTTATGACGAGAATCGACTTGTCTGTAATAAACATACATTTTATCTTAAGTTTACTGATATATCTGCCAGCTTAATTAACTTATACATAAGTTAATTAGATATATAAACATAAACTTAATCCAGATATTAATTTACAATTAATAGCTCTAGAACAAACTAAAATATTTCAACTAATAATACTGTACCTTAATTTTTTAATTGAACTTCCGCTAAAATTTTAAATCCAACTATTAATGTCAGTTAATGTACTCAAAACAAAAATTCATACAAATTTTGTAATTAAATTGTGAATATAATGTATTTTTACGAAAATAATTTAATAACCTAATTCGAAATTTTGAATAAAATTATAAGTATAACAAAAAGAGTTTTAAAAAGCAACCATCGCCAAATTATTTAAAAAAATAAACCCAAATAAAAAGATAAATAGTAATACGTCGACTAACACGTCTTCTCCTTTTCAAATAGTATTTTATAATTTTCTGAAGCCTCCAACTGTTTTTTAAAAACTATAATAATAGGGGTGGATTTTATTAAAATCACGTAAAAGATCATTGAATTTTTATGTTCCGTCACATGTTTGAACGGTAAGTGGAATGATGTCTGAATGAATAGCATATACATAGACATAACGAAGGGTGGCAATGTGGGGCTTATACCACCATCTATCAAAAAATATATAGAAAGTTGTGTGTATATATATAATTATATAAAAAAAGGAAAATTAATTTAGCACTATAACAAAAATGTTATTTAATAAAATAATTTCTATTTCCAAATCTTTAGAACATAAAATCATAAATTATGATTATGAAATTGTTACGAGTCATAATAATGCGAAGGCTTGCGGTGTAATTTACGCGTAAAACGCCAAAGTGACGAGAACATTTTCTCCAAAACTACTCTTCTCCCAAATCGAAAAAATACTATCACAGACATTCTGAAGACTAGACGATACGTTAATTTCAAGAACCAATTTCTATACGTCTTCAAAAAGTTTTGACCATTTACCATACCAGGCATTTTAAAAGTTCAATTATCAATTTAATTTAGTTTAACAAACTAAATGTTAAACAATTGCAATAATGTTAGTCAGATTTAATTAACTTAATTTAAAGAAAATACTAAAACAAATTTTTAATCTACCATAATTTTGTTCATTAACTTTAAGAAATTTAATTAATAACATTAAAATACAATTTTTGTATAGAAGAAAAACACCAATAGAAATGATAATGCACATTGTACAATAATAAAGGGAATGTATTACTTTAGACAAATGGAGGGATGAAAAATGTAAATTAAAAAAAATTGAGAAATGCCACTCTCCGTATTCATCCACTACGACCACTGACTGAACACACTACTAAATGCGTTTTGTTATCAAAGATGTATTTAAGCTCTCCCGAAGATATGTTCGAAATACTTATGTCCCAAAGTATTTCAGGTTATTTAATTATCTTAATAGTAAGACTTTTGTTTGTCAAAAATTAAAAAGTTAATAAAATATCAATTACCCCCAAGATATGCCCATTTATATTTGCTTTGCACCTTTTTAAATACGCCACTGTTTGTAGTATATATATTATTTTTTGGGTAGATTTTATGATAGCCTAAAATAATTGTCAAACTTATTCGAATATACTAGCATTAATTTATTTATTAGTGTAAAACAATGTTATCATTGCTATCGCTAATACCAGTTTCATTTCGGGTAAAATATTTGTCGGATATAATATCCTTCGGTTAAGAATTTTAACCGAACTGTATTTTAAGTTAAAATACCGTTCAGTCAATTTTTTTCCGTTAAAATAGGTTAGACAGTAATATTTTCAGCTGTGTATACACTCCAATAGCGTCGTTTATACTGCAACAGTAGACATTTCAGTTTGTTTATGTTTTCAGGATGATCAAAAAACAATTTTGAATTAATCCTTCACTTCCAGTGACGCAACTAAAGCAAAAATACAGGAGTATTAAAATTGTGTAAGGCTTACAAATCCATGACTATATACGATAGAATCCATGCATACTATGAACGTAATGGAGAACATACTAGTAGATAATTAAATGTGTAATATATGCATATTTTATAAAACTTAGGGTTTTTTTTTTCAAATTTTTGCGCATCAAACTTTTAGTTAAAAATAAAAGAACAAACACGATAAAAATTTAATTTTAAATAGCTCACCGTATTTATAATTTTATATTGAACACTATTGATGATTTAAATTTATTTGGTAAGATAGCTTATTTTTAAGAACTATAGACGTTTTTGTAAAATATCTTTNCTAGACGATACGTTAATTTCAAGAACCAATTTCTATACGTCTTAAAATTTAATTTTAAATAGCTCACCGTATTTATAATTTTTTATTGAACACTATTGATGATTTAAATTTATTTGGTAAGATAGCTTATTTTTAAGAACTATAGACGTTTTTGTAAAATATCTTTACAAGTTATACCATATATTCTAATCACACTTATTTTACGAGTAGTTAGAGCGCGCTGTTCTTTCAAATTCAAGGCGATTATTTTCTTTATCAAATAAGTTATCAGATGTTATCAATAGAGTACCATTATATTTTTGTGTCACGTGTTATCGATGATTAAACGGACGATTCAACTTGATTACAAAAAAACAAATAATTAATTCTCTTTTAATATAATTATATGCATTTAATTTTACCTGGCTCTTATAACTTTTAGTCAAATTTTTGTAAGTAATATATGTTTTTAACTGTAAAATTACATTTACTTACCCACTTGTCTTAAGGATAATATGCGGAGGAAACCTAACATTCTTATTACGGGTAAAAATTTGATGATAAACGTTTATCAAAGAAATAAAATTTTATTCATTTTAATTACTACTCATTGTAGGAACACCGGGTGTAGGAAAGTCAAAACTCTGTGAAGAGTTGATTCGAAGTGGCGTAGATATGGAATGGATTGATGTAGGCCAGGTTGCTAAACAATGTAATTGTTATTCTGGATTTGATGAAAATTTAGAGTGTCAAATATTAGATGAAGAAAAGGTAATAGCTTATTTGAATTATAATATTTATGATTAAGACAAGCCTAATACTACTTATTTTAAGTTACTTGACGAGTTAGAATCTCGAATGGAAGATGGGGGAAAAATTGTAGACTACCATGGATGTGATTTCTTTCCTGAACGTTGGTTTGATGTAGTGTTTGTGTTAAGAACTAATAATACTTTACTCTATGATCGACTTGAAAAAAGGTAAAATATGTAAAAATTTACTAAAAATATAATTCAAACTAATTAATACTGCTAACAGAATTATTTAGTTTGTATTTTATCATTAATTAATGATCAAGTTATATAGAGTAATTGATTATCACCTGATTTCTTATAAAATTAGAATTTTTTTTTTAACTTATTTAAGTAGTATCTATTTCTCAACTTATAAGTGTTTAAACACTTTTATAGATTCATCTTTTGACCCTATTATGGGAACTAACCTTATTTTCTTTAAATGTAATATATATATTTAACTAGCTCATCTTCTCTGATAACAAACTAACTATCCATCTTGGAGTATAATGGTTACTAAACCTACTATAGTTTGGCTGCTATGGCCCTTAATAAGCTAAAAAAGTGATTTAAAACATATAAATAAATAATATCTACCTCAAATAATGGGAAATAAACTAAGAAAATGATTGGTCGATAACAACTTTTGAACCAGTAGTTCAGGAATTATGAATATTTTTATATCTGGATGAGAGAAGTAGCAAAGCTGAGAAATGTATGATGATAAAAATAATACTCTCTGCACCTCACCTCTAATCATTATATAAAATTGTTAATAACTTTTTAACTACTAACTTATATATTGTTATTGACCAGTCATTTTTAAATAATTAATATGATAGCCATTTAAAAAATTTAGTTGATACCTTTTAAGGAATAAGATGGACTTTAAAAATATTTAACCAATTATAAGTTAAAAAATATATACTATTAAACAAAATAAACAGAAAAATTATTATTTTAGGAGAAATTTAGTGGTCGATAATAAATTTATTGCTGTGTAAAGTGGATAAATTAATGTACTGATACAATTATGACATTGTCTGGTAAAATTAGTAATCCTTTTTTTTTTAATTAAAATCTGTTGTATAATAAAAAAAACCTGAATTTTTATATATTTGGAAATTATATTATTATTTTAACCCCTGAATAAAGAGATTTATGTCTTATAAATTAAAACTATTACACTTTTCTATTCAACCATTAAACATTTTTTTAGAGGTTATTCTAGCAATAAACTTCAGAATAATATTGAATGCGAGATATTTCAAACACTGTATGAGGAAGCACTTGATTCTTATGATAACAACATAGTACATGAACTTAGAAATGAAACTCATGCTGATATGGAACGCAATATCACTCAAATTAGCTCTTGGATCAATCAATGGATCAAAGATAATGTTAGTATTTAAGTAATAAAATACTGTTTAACTTCTTTATATTTAACAGAAGAAAAATGTTACAAGTCTTAACATTTTAACAAGACACTTGTGTTTGTAAATAAATGTAATTTTGTTGTTAAGTTTAATACTTATATTTTTTAGATTCTTAGTTTTAATAATAATAATACTCTTACTTAAATTTATTTTAATAATTTAATTTTTAAGGGTTTCTGTGGTTACTATAAAACTTTTGAATTTTTTATCTTTTTGTCACTCTTATTAACTTATGCTTAAATAAAATAATTTATATAGTAATATAATTAAGCCTTTAGAACTTAAGAATTGGATTATCCTTATTTATGTACACAATACATAATTGAATCCTACTATATAAGTGCCAGGCATATAATTATTTTGTATCTATGTAGCCAGTATCACACATATATATATATATCACAATTATTTATTAATATTGTCTCATATCACAAAGAAATAACCATTAGCCATGTTTACAACATAATTTTAAATTAAACCTAATTTCTATATTATTATTTAATAAATTTAGAAGAATATTACATATTAACACTTGAAAAAATACCTGATATTTATAGTGGAGTAATCAACATGTAATTTAATTTGTAGAGTATTAATCATTGGTGTACATAATAGGATACTATTATTGCTATTTTTTCATAGGTACATATTCAATTTAAATTTTAAGGTGTTATTATTATTATTATCAATTAAAAGGCAAAAATTATCCAATAACAATATTCATAGTCGTCTTTAATAAGGTGTAAAATGAAACTGGTAGTTCTAATAAATAATTTGGAGAAGCTAAGGACTTCCCATTTGAATTTTGTTTTATTCTCAAAAAAATTTTAATAACCTAAAAATGATTATATATAACATTTTTAGCATTATTTTCATAAATATTAAATATTGTTATCAATTAGGTAAATAGAATCAATAAATAATATCTAATCAATGAGATGAACAATTAATAATTAATTATTATAACTCACATTTTTCACTTATTATATCTTTCAAAATTAATAGATATTAAATGATATCACCCTATACATAAAAATCAAAAGAATAGATTATTTTGTATAACAAAATATTTAATATTTGTATATAATAAAGCCTACAAGAAAAAAATAAATAAGAAGAAAAGTACAATTTAAACATTATTATAATAAAACCTGTTAATCACTAAAAATTTTATAACACACAGTAAATAATGACTAAGACCTTGGCTCTTTTAATCTAACTACTTTAATGTTGTTAGCACTATGGATATGAGATATATCTTGAGGTGTTAAAAATATAAATTGATTCCTCCTATTTTCAATAGACATCATCAATAATGATGTGGTTGCCATTCTATTAATATTATCCATATAAACATCATACTCATCAATTGAGTAAAATGGAAGTTGTACATTACTCCATAATGATAAAATTAAAGCAACTGTAGCAAAAGTTCTTTCACCACCTGATGCACATGATGTACTAATATTATCAAACATAGAAATATGCATAGTTCTTTCTTTAAGATCTATTTCAAGATTGCCTTTTATTTTTCGTAAAAGTAATATTAAGTCAAAAGACTCTATAACTTTTAGTCGAACAACTTCTAAATAATTCTGTAAAAATAAATCACTAGACTCTATTGATTTTTTATTATTGAAGTAAATTTCTTTTATTTGGTTAAGCAATGAGTTGTGTTGAAGATATTCTTTTTTCTTTTTTTTGTAGTCATCCCTTAAACCTAAGTGGTTATCTTTTTTTTTTTTCAGTTCCAATTCTAACAACTGAAATTTATGATTAGTGTCTTCTATATCTCTTCTAATGTCTTCTTCATCACGTGTAGTAACTATTTTTTCACACAAACACCTTGCTTCTTCTTCTTTTTTTACAAGATCTTTTTTAATACTTACACTCTTTATTTCTAATTTATTTAAGAATAAGATTTTATTTTTAACTTCATTATTAATTTGTGAAATTTCAGATTTATAGTTTTTAATTTTTGATTCATGATTTTCTATTTGTTCCATAATTGCAGAGCGATCAGTTTTCTCTATAGTTGACTGTAATTCACGCATACGAACATTAATTTCAGTAATTTCTTTTTCAATACATGATAATGGAGCAATTGAATTTTCTCTCAATTTTTCTATGTTTGCAATTTTTGAATTAACTTCATTCATTTCTTCAGTAAGCGTATTCAATCTATCATCCTGTTCCTCATCACACTTTGCTTTAAGTTCATTAGCCTTTTTGGTGTATTCATCATACTTTGATTTAAGCAATCTAGTTTCAGAGCGAGTTTTATTCAAATTTTGTTGTTTTTCATTTTTTGAATATTCGAGATTTTCACTTTCGCCAAGAAGGTTAGTAATTTTCGCTTCAAGCTCTTTTTTTTCTTGTTTAAGATTATTTATTGCAACTGAAACATCGCTCTGTAAGAGAACAGCTTCAGTAGGATTTTGCAGAGAATAAACTCTATATGAAGGACTAGGATAAATTTGAGTTCCATCTAAAGTTAAACTAAACTGACAATTCTTTGGGACCTTAGATACATTTTCCATCATAGGCATGGCTTCCCCTGCATCTTCAACGAGCATGATAGTTTCTATACGATTATTGTCAATCAAACTATTAGCAACAACTGGATTGGTAAATGTTAACATACGAAAAAGACTACTTTTCGTTTCTTTTTCCATAATATTATGAACTTGATCAAAAAATTTACTGGTAACTACAGTTGGTTTTCTTGTGCCACCTGGTATAATTTTATCCATGATTGATTGTAATGTTTTATTATCAGTAAAATTATCTACTAAAAATGTTCTTAAGCTTCCTCTTCCTAAAAAATTTTCAATTGAAAAAATCCATTTATCTGAATTTACTTTTATGTGAGCTCCTATCGGCCCAATAGGTTTCTTGATAAATTTTTTTTGTTTATAAGCTGTTTCAATAGCTATTATTAGATTTGGCATCCAATTACCATAAAAATTAATTCTATCTTGTTGTTGTGACATACTATTAATGTTTTTATTTAATTCTGCTACTCTTCTTTGGAGAGGTGCAATCTCATTATTTTTCAGATGGCCAATTTTTTGTCTTAGATCATCTATCGTGTTGTTAAGAATTTGTTCATATTCTATGTTATTTTTCCAAGCAGCTTCAATATCTTTAATATTTTGTTCCAATCGGTTTATTGACTCTGTTAGTTGAGCAACATTATTTGAATTACCTTTCTGATTTTCAATTGCTATATGTTTTTCTAATTCTTTTTTATCATTGAGAAACATTTTTAAATTTGAATCATAACTTCTTATTGATTGTTTGATTTTATCGTATTCACAAATTTTATTTTGTTTTTCTTTTTTAATATCCATAAGAGCAAAATGATTACGTGAACGGGCTTCTTGAGCAATAGATAATTCTTCTTGTTTTTCTTTTAAAATATCTGATGACTGCTTTACTTTTTCCTCCAACTCTTTAATAGAAGATTTAGATTGACAAATATATTCTTTACAATTGGACATTTCATTTGTATTGTCATTACATTCTTTTTCAATTTTGTTAACTATTTGCCATGCATATTCATTTTGAAAATGCCCAATACTTTTTTTAAGTAATTCTAGTTGTTTAGACTTTTTTTCATAAGTTTCATATTCTTTCATTTCTTTATGACATTGATCTAAAATTTCTTCTGCTTTTTGTAATTTTTCAGCATACTCATTGGCTATTATTTTTGTAGCATCAATTTGATCACTGTAGATATTTGCTGATGAAGCTTTGTAAAATAATTCAAACTTTTCATTGTCTTTTGTATTTTTATGAAAAATCTTAACATCTCCTTGATTCATAACACAAACTGGATTATCTGGCATAATGTTAAAATGTAAAAGTAAATTTTTTAATTCTTTTTTATTACTTTTTATAACACGTCCATTTTCATTAAGAAATTTATAAGTACTTGAAGATGCAGTTATATTTCTTACAACAGTTATTTGTTTACCATAAATTTCAGGCTTATATGGGCCAGAATCATAATTACAATCACCACCATTAGCTAATGTTATTGAAATTGAAGCTGAACTACAACCATATTTAATGAGTGATTGTACTGATTTACCTCTATTAACTATCGCAGCTGTTCCACCAAGACCGATAACGATTGCTGCTTGGATAGCACTCTTCCCTGATCCATTTAATCCAGATATAAAATTTATTCTAGGATTAAAAGTTAAATGAAAGTGTGAATGACACATAAAATTTTCCAATGTAATAGATTTAATACTTCCATTATACCAATCATTGTCATCAAACTGATCTTCCATTTGCTTATTTTCTATGTAAAAAAGTTTGATTAATATAATTTTTTCCAAATTAACACATAATGCTCAATGAGTGTATTATAGCTTAAACTCGAAAGAAAGTAATAAGATATAATCAACTTATTTTAAGTTTTAATCTTTCATAAGAATTTTTAGCACTTAAAATATATTAAGATAAAGTTTTATAAATGTATCATATATAACTATAGAGAGAATAATTAACTTTATTATATTAATTAAAATTGATGATCAACATTTAATTTAATAGAATATGGGTCCATTACATATTTCATTATTAACACTTGTGTAAACTAGCAGAAATTATATCATAATCAAATAAATGATGATACCACATGGAGTATAATAAAGTCCATGTGAGTATATTTACTATATATTATACAGAATGTCTCTTTTAAAACTAGCTACTTAATTTCTCTTATAATTTTTTTTTTTTTGTCAGTTTCATATTTATTTCCATTTATCTGTAATAAAATATTTTTTATATTCATCTCTTATATTTTTTAAAGATATCAACATTATTTTTCTATATGGCAATATGTATATTTAATTAGTTTATAAAAAAGAAAATGATCTTATTGAGAAAATGACTGATCAATAACAACTTTTGGACCAGTATTTTAGAAGTTTTTAATAATTTAAGTAATGGCTAGATGTGAGAAATGGATGCTGCTATTTTTATTACTAGACATTTCTTACTACTCGCATAACACTATTCCTCCTGTCTAGGTAAAAAAATTTTAATAACTTCTGAAATATTTGTCCAAATTTGTTATCAACCAGAAATTTTCTTAATTAGATGATTTTCTATTTTATCAGATAGTTAAATTTGTATGTTACCGTTTAAAAACAATAAAGTTGATACCTTTATAAGATATAAGGATTGAACATAAAAAATATTTTATAACAGAAAAATGGAGATACATATGTAACTAACAATAAAAATAGTCAAAAAAAAAAATTACTATTTTAAGAAAAATAGAATGGCTAGCATTAAAAGACATACACTGTATATTGTGTATTTTTTGTAAGGAGTACTATTATTTAGCACTGATGAGAATACTCTCCCCTATTTTACAGTTTTAAATAACATTAAATATATATTGAAAATATCAAAATGTCAAATATCATGATATTTTTATATCTATCCCTCATTCACTCATATTATGATATGCTATACTAAAAAAAATCTATTAACGTTCAATAATTTAGAAAAGATGAATAGCAAGGTAGTGTTAAGCAGCATCTATCTTTACCATGATGAACAGATAAGGTTTCTTTAATATTGTGCACCCCTCTTGAATAAAACTAAAAATTACATTAACTCAAAAAGTAATATTACAAAACAAAGAGTCACAATTTTCTATAGATAATTTTTCATTTAACAGTAAAAATATAATAATAAGTTCCCATTTAATTTTTGAAAGTTGCCCCTAAATCTACCCTTGGAAATAATTTTTAGAATAAACTTGATATTAACAGTGATTTGTAAAAATAAATCTAATTTTATTTTGTACATTTTTATAAAAAAAATCATTATTTAATAAAAAAAATTGGGGATATTATTCTTAAAATCACACTGTATAGCACGAGTAAGTTATATTGATATTAAAATTAATAAAACACAACAAATAATTACTAGTTTAATTAATTATTAAAATTATTATTATTATTTAAATTAATTTAAATTAATTAAATTAATTATTATTAAAATTATTATAATTAGTAAAATTATTTTTAATTATGCTGTATATATTATATATTATTATATAGCAAAAATAAAATTGATCAAATGTAAGGATTTATGTACTTAAATAGATTTCTTACTTTGAATAGGGCTCATATTTTTTGCTTTTTTTTTTGAGATATTAATATAACATTTTTTTTGCAAAATCAAAACATTTCATCTATAAACAATCAAAGAAATAGAATTTATAGATTTTTTCACACCAAAAAATACAGTAAATAAGTACATACCAGATGTTATGTGTCATAGTAAATTAAAGATATTCATTTCAAAAGTTCAAAATTAAAAATTAAGAGAATAAATTTTTATATTTTTTATTAAGAACAATAAAGCATTTCACATTGGTTAACTCTTTAAGAATCTTTATTCAACTTTCATCCAGAATAATATTGTAAGGCGGTAAGATAATAAAACACCTATCACATATATACTATTTTATTCGTTGACAAGACCATGGTTAATAAGTAGTTAGTGATAAAAAAGACGAGAGTGTGTAATACATTAGACCAGTGATAAGGATTAAAATTATTTTAGTTTTACATAAATATACTATGGAAAATTGTTATAGGCTATATTACATCCTAAATATTATTATTACATAGACACATTACTTAAATTTAGTGGCTCAAACAGAAAATAATTTCGGGAATGCGGTAGTTTTTATTTACCAAAAATTGTTTACTCTTTTTACTTTCTTATTTATGAAAATGGAATAAATAAAAAATCATGCAAAATTTTCATTTTTTTTTTTCAAACAATTACATTATTTAAAAAATTGTATTTATCAAAAATCTATATAAATAAATAGATAAATTTGTTATGTTCAATTTAAAGTATTAATCATCTCACAATGTTCATCTAGTCCTTATTTTTTGTTCTCCCAAGACATATTTTCTTGCATTTTTTTATTATTTGTGTCTTATAGTGATGTGCCTTGGTGGAAAATTTAGCTTTTAAAATATGATATGACAAAAATAAATAACTTGTAACTAATTTATTTAAAATTAAAATTAATAAAAAAAAATGTTGCTTAATATCATATGTATTTTAAAAGTAATTAAGTGTACTATAAAAAACGGATCACCGATAAATTGATTTTCACTGAAACAGATACTCATACTCCATATCCCGCAGTAGGATAAGGCAATAATGACCTCTGAACTGAACTAAATTACCCCATGAATAAATCTGAGTCTATGAGAGTTGAAGTCCTATAATTTTTAAAAATAAATTTAATATCACAAAATGTTCTATGTATGTAATATAAGAAGAAAAATACGCCATTTATTTATTTATCTCAAATGAGAATAAATAACATTTTATTAATTTATATTTGTACCTATTTAGTTCTTTTTAAGAACTTCTCTATCTTACTTATTTACTTTTATTATGGCAATCAAATCGACTTATCACTATCCCGGTTCTAAATTATGCGTTTAACAAATAATATATATATAACCTACTTATTTTATTACTCCCTCGAAATCAGGTTGGTTGTGCGACACGTTATTTGAAATGTTCAGTTAAATAATGTTTTTATTTTATGTTACTCAAGATGTCTCAAATATATTTTAAACGTAATATAAATTAACCAAAATGAAATGTTAAGTAGTATTTATAAAATTTATCAAAGTCAGAAATCATTAAGTCAAGGAAGGCTAATTTTAAAGTTAAGGGGCTAAGCTTCCGAAGCTCTCACTTACTTATACCAATGATAACCTCCAGTGAATTCCTCATCCTAAATTGGGAATTCAGTATTTCTTAAAATCAATTACTATAGTAACACTTCCTAGTTAATATAAATTTATGTACAACGTTTGTTAAAATTTACTCCACATCCTTTTCATCCCCCTAAAATAGCGTAAGGTGAGTTAGGGCATACTCCTCAGTTTACAATTTAGTCCTCCTAGAAATTTGGGATAAATAAATGCATTTTACATAACAATTATATATAGTACCGATTACAATTGATTTCGCTAAAACATTTGAAATAAAACGGATAATTAAATTTTTGTAACCAGATTGATTGATTTGTTAAATTTTTTGCATAAAACTTTTTTGATAAAAACAAAATTTTAGAAATACTATGTATCATAGTAAAAAATAATTTTAGGAACAAAAAATTAAATATAAGCTCCTATGGATAAACTTGTTTTTGAAAGAAGCAAAGGTGTAGCTAATGTGAGGGGCAAATCATCCCATTGGCAAATTATTACTATTAACAGTGTATGTATGATTTAGACGTTAGAAGAGTATGTGATAGTTAATATCAAAAAAGGTTAAAGAGGTATCCCTTAGCAAGAATCCTAGCTACGCGCATTAAAGGGGAGTGCTACTACACCCAGTTTAACCTGCTAGATTCGGCTATGATATCATATATTATTTATTCTAATCCATAATTTTAATTTAATGTAAAATTAAAAAATATACATTTTTGAATTGAATTAAAATATATTATCACTATCGTACAAAAAGTAATCAAGTTTTTGTAAGTGATGCAACTCTTACATAACACAAATAATTAGTAATTATATATATAAATTAAAACGAAATCTATTCAGTTCTAAATATTCAACGTTAAATCTTTGGAAAAAAATTTTAAAGTTTCATTAACTAATACATTTAATTAATACCATTTTTATTTATTATGAATTTTAAGCAATTTAAGTATACCTAGATTGTAAAAGTCAGTCGCAAAGTTCAATTTTTGTAGTGCGAGACAAACATTTTTTTTTTTTGGTTTAATATTGAACGTTCACTTAACTCACCCACACATGTTATAAGTTTATTTAAAAAATTCTATATTATTCAAAAAGCTCTTACAAAATACTCTCTTAAAAAATATTTTTTTATTTTGTCAAAGTGAATTTTTAAAATCTTATATTTATTTTGTATAGACTTTTCAATACAAATATAATTAGATTTGTCATTACATGAGAATGTATTATTTAAACCTTCACTTATATATATATATATACATTTTTATAACTCGTTATAGAGACAAATAGTATTTTAACGTGAGGGTTTTTAAGTTCCTAAGATCAAAAAAAAATTTTTTTTGGTTCACTCGAAATGGCATACTTTACTTTTCTTTGATCTATTTATAAATAATTAATTTATGCATAACATTGTATACATAATTTTATTCCTATCATTATAAAATTTCAATTATAATTATTGAAATAATAAGATATTTTTTTTTCCATATCTACCGCTTCAACCAGACTGAGTTTGCTCAATGATATGTCAAAAAATCACTAAGTATAACAATTTGAAGCTATTAGTGCCATAATTTCAAAAATTTCCTTAAGTCCTGGTAATAAAGAGAAATTTTCTAAAAAAATTACAGTCGTTATAAACGGTATATGTTCATATTTTTATTTTTTACTTTATATTGAAATAAATTTTTGAGAACTGGACGGTTTACTGCAAAAATTTATTGATAACATTTTAAACATTTGCCTTGCCGACAAAATGACTTTTAAGAAAATCAAAGGTTCTGTGAGGCATAGTAATCTTACCAATTTTTTTTTTCAATTCAATTTTTGATAATGTTCAAAAAATTATACCTTCTTTAAACATACATTAAATTAAAACTTATACAATGTGTTTTAAGATAAAAAAAGAATAACTATCAGAAATCTCGATTTTTAGGAGCTGTCAGTCATTAATATAAATAATCATATGATTATAGAAAAAAAAATGGATAATTACCATAAAACAGATAATTAAATATAAAAAACAAATATTAAATATAAAAACAAATATTATTCTTAATCATTACTGATTAAAACTTCTTTAATGTAATACATTATTGAAAACTGTTGAATGGAATAGGTTATGTAATTAAAAGATTTAGAAGTTATTCGTAATATAATAGTATTTAATATAAAATGTCAAAACATATAATATAAGAGATGTACAACGGCAACGGGTCACTTTACTCGATAGACGGTGAAACTACGACTAAACTGTAAACATGTATACAATAGGCTGCATTGAGTAAAAACAACATAATCGTAAAAGGAATGTGTCCCTTTGACCTTGTACTATACTAACATAAGTAAAAATACATTAAACTGTTATCTTAAATAATATTACTGTACCCAGTGTGTTGTTTAATAATATCAACAATAACATAAAAATGTTCCAGTGACTTGTCCTCTTTGAGTAAGCAACCTGTGAAGTCAAAAACTATATAATTTTATCAGATATGTTACTTGTTTTAATATGTTTCAAATACTTATAAAAGAGTTTTATGACAGTGATTTGAATTACTTCCAAATATTAATTAATACTAATTTAAAAAATATCTTAACTTTACTTTAATGAATCCCTTTATACTTTAATTTTTACTTTGACATGCTATTTTTTATTCACATTCACAATATTATACATTTATTAATAAGTTGTGCAGCTAGAAGGTGATAAAGAGTTGTAAACTTCCCCCCCCCAATTTCAAATAATCAAAACAATGTTTGAATTATTTATTGATTCAGCTAAAAAAATTTTTAAAAAAACCATTTTATTTTCTTTGAGAGTTTTTTAATCATAAAACATTCTTGAAATAATAATAAAAACCCTTTCCCAAAAATATTTTTGGTTACACAGCTGATTATAAGTATCTTAATATTGAACAAACTAAATCGTAAAAAAATTTAAATATCTACTTTAATGATATAAATAACATAATAATTAATAATTTTCCCAAGGCTTTTCTGGTCTTTCCCGGTCCCATGGATGTGGAGCTTTATACCTAGGACTTTCTTCTAATTGAACACCTCCATCTGATAAATTTTTTAAAAGAGCATCAAGCTAAAAAATAAAACTTTACTCAAAATAAATTATATATAAAATACTATCTCAGCTTCGTATTGAAGCTAAAATAGTCAACAATATTTTTACATCAGCATAGCGTTTAATTACATATCTCTCTCAAAAATTCAATTTTAAAAAATTACCAAAAATGTTTAAAAAAACAATAGCACAGTATGGACATGGCATATTTGGAATAAGTGTAGATGATATCTGACAGTTATTAAAAACACTATCATAAGTAACGCTTTGATGCAAATCTATAGATAGTGTTTAATTTTAAGAAATTGGTGTATTATTTCAAAAGCAAAATTAACTCTTATTTTTTGTTCTACTTTGACTGCCATTTGCACATAGAAGATAGGTCGTTCGGACAAATTTTTTTTTTTTTGTAACTTATAGTACATAATGTAAGCTTTAATTTAACATATATTTAAAGGACACAGTATTTTCAAAAAATGTTCAAAAGTCAAGTTGAAAAAGTTCTGCTTTTTATACGTATGTGTTCAAGATTTGAATGCCCCCTGTATATGAGGAAATTGCCAGATTTAAAAAAAAATATGTTGGATGAAAGGAGTATATATAATGTATTTAGAAACAAAATTTTTTAAAAAAATATGTTTTTCAAAAAGTTAAAGCAATTTAAAGTTGAAAATTTATATTCAAAAATATTAACACAAAAGCATTTTTTTAACTAAGGCAGACGTTTTCAAGTAGAAGATAAGTCGCAGGGAATTTTTTTTTTTTTTTAACTTATAGTACATAATGTAAGCTTTAATTTGACATATGTTTAGAGGACGTGGTATTTCCAGAACATTTTCAAAAGTTAAGTTGAAAAAGTTGAGTTTTGTAAAAAAGTTGCTATTTTGAATTCCCTCTTGTTGGAAGGTAAAAGATCAAATTTTTAAAAATATTATATCAAATAAAATGGAATTACTTAAGGTTTCAATACAAAAAAAATTATTTTAATTTGTTCATTTTTCAATAAGTTATGGCAATTTTTAGGAAAAAAGTCGAAATTTACCAATTTTAAAAATTGTAATTTTTTGGGGTATTTCCACCATTTACGGGGAATGAGAGAAATATTTTCAATTTATGAGGATAATGTCTTCAACTGGATACGATTTGTAATCTTTTGACATATTGTTGAGAAAAATTGGTCCAGTGAGGGCTGGGGAAAAGTAGTGACAGACACAAAAAAAATAATAAAATTAAAACGCATCATGGAAAAATTAATATCTTCTCAGTTTTGCATCGAAGCTAAAAATGTTTTTGTCTATGCTGTCAATTATTATATTGTTGTTTATAGTGTAACAGTGCATATTTGAATTCTTAACAAAATAAGATTTCTATGAATAATGATAAAAGTAGTTATTCTGAACATATTTTTTCCAGATATTTTTTTGTGAGGCTCATAGTTTTATTGATATTTATGAAAATATAATCACGAAATTTATTAAAATGTGTATAATTCAAATTTGTTATTTGATAATTTTAAAAACCTAGAAAAACTGAGATACACACTGTTTCTGTACAAAGAACAATATTTTTTATAAAATTTATAAGTCATAATATTGATTTTTAAATTTATAATAGCTAAAAAATTCTAAAAAAACCTTTTTTTAATTTTAATTTAATAAATATGATATGCTCAACAATTATAATTAGGAAAAACAAACAATTTATCAAGGAGAAATGAAAAGGTATTTAACATTAATTGAATTAGGAATTTTTTTTAATTTAATAACTTATAGTTTTCATTTAATTAATAATCTTTAATGGGATCTATGAAAATGTATGTTTTTACTCATAAATGGAACATTTTAAGTGATACTAACTTTGCCTCCTGGTATAGCTTCATATGTATTTAATACTTCAAAGATTCCACTTTCTAAACAGCGTTGTGCCAATACTTTCCCAACAGTTGCAAATGCTACTTTATCCCGAGTACTGTAAAATGTATAATGAACATTAAATTTCTCATTTGAAAAAAATTATGAGTAATAAATAGATCGGAAAGTTATATTTAAAAAATGTATTAATTCAAGTTCAAGTCTATCATAGAAAAATTTTCTTTTAAAGTAAAGAGCAAAACTAAAATAATTAAGCAATTAAAATACTTCTTAAAAATAAAATAGTTTTTTTAAATCCATGGTATTAAATTTTTTCAAATTCTAGATATTTATTTTTATTTAAAACTTTACCCAAACATTTTATTAAAAATGAACTTCACAGATTAAATTAATTAAATAAGTACACACTTAAAATTTATATATGTCAAATAAGCACATTTTATCTTATCACTGGTAATAAGATAGTATTTACAAACCTAAAAAGTTGTTTACGAATTGCCCATTCAGCAGTAGTTGCTAATAAAGGTATAACACCACTGTTATGTAAAATAGAAGCAGTCACATGTCGTTTACTTATATTTATTTCAAGCCTATAAATAATATTTAATTACCAAATAATAATTGTTTTTTACAAATTATAAATTTACTTATGCCAAAATTCACGCCCCGGTTTTTCCAAATGGTATCCAGCTGGTTTATATGCAATTCGTAATTTTTCCAAATTTCTAGGATTTCTATTATAAACATACTTGGAAAATGAGAGAGAATCATTTTTAATAAATGAACTACATTTTTTTATACTTCCTCCGATGAAATTAGAGATATTAACTTTATGCAATCGAAAATTAATCATTGTATTTGAAAACATGTATGAATCGTCTGATTCTAGTTAAAATTAAATCAACATATCATTAATAATACAAATAAAACATTACCTTACTCAATAAAAACAATTATCATAAAGACATTAATTTAATAAAAATCCTATGATAAAGACACCGGGCTAATGATAAGAGATAAAATTATTAAGTCGAATGGTAATACACAAAACCAGACATTTCGTTGTAGATATGATTAAAGATAAACAGGTTAGGCATCGTTGTGTGGTTCAAACGATACCATTTCGGTCAGGCGACGTTATGAAAATTAAGTTTAAAACGTTTTATTATGGGAACGCTGCACCTTTTTGATGGCAGACTATTTTTGTTTTTTCATAAGAACATTTGTTAAAAGTAGTTACTTTTTTACAATATTCTTCATAATAAAATTATTTAATGTTATATATTAATTTTGTTTTTCTGTCCTGAATATTACAGTACAACAATATTTTGTTATCTAATTTATTCATAATAAGGTAATAGGAAAATATTTAATATCAATGCAAAGTTGAAATGTATTGACAAACTAATATAAAATTAATAATTTATCTACTCAGGGCATAGTGAATTAATTTTTATCAATGTTGCAATTTACTTCACCTACCCACTATAATTTTCTGTAGGTTAATAAACATATTATTTTTATATTAAGTAAAATACAATTATAAATTTTTTAATTGTGCATCACTTATAATATATGAATACTATTATTTATAGTACATTAAATTATCACATAAATATCTTATTTAAAAATTCTTAGTACTTAAATATATATATGAAATATTAAACAAGTTTTTAAATGTGTAAAAAAAATATTTTTAATTGTTATTAAATTTTAGAATAGGTCAACATTTATTTTGGTAATTTAGTCATCCTGACATCTACATTAAAACGGCTTATTGATTGAATCACTTCCCTATTATTGGGTAAATTTTTATCAATGTCCAATCATTTATTCTGTGATAAAACATTGAATATATAAATATCATAAATCACGAGTTGGTATAGTTAATGATGAATTATATATGAATCTAATGCAGTTTTAATTAAATATAGTCATTTGATTTATTTTTCATTGAAAAAGTGACATTCATTTATTCTTTGTGTTCCGCATGAATATGGATTATTCTTTCTTGCCAAATAATCTTCAAGACCTTGTTCATAAATGGATTTGTTGGAATAAGGTACCTATTGGATCATCTTTGTAAATCATGTTAACTACCTCAGGAATAATATAATAGATCTATAATATAGAATATAATTTATACAGAGTGATAATTTTATTATGAACCACATAATTAATGAGAAAATAAAAATAATATTCATAATTTTTTTGGTTTCTTATAGTCTCCTATTTTTCATAATTTATTGAAGAAAATATATTTTTATATTCATTCCTTATACCTTATGTGGAGGTCAACTTTATTTTTTTAAATGGCAACATAAATAATCTTCTAGTCTATTTGGTAGTAATAATCTAATTAATAAAGTTTCAATAGTTAATAATATTTTTATATCTAAGTGGAAAGATAAGTGCAGCCGAAAATGTCTAGTATTAAAAATAGTAACACCTACACTTCACCTTCAATCATTACTTTGAATTGTTAATTATTTATGAAGTACTAGTCCAAAAGTGGTTATTAACCAATCATATTCTTAATTGGTTCATTTTCTATAATTTAATCTATTGAAATATATATGTCATTGTTTAAAAAAATAAAGTTGTAGTTCTCTTATAAAATGTAAGAGATGAATCTTGAAATTATCAAGAGGTAAATACTACTTATATAAGTTAAAATAATTTATCTAAATTATTAATATTTTTAGAATCCAGGTGGTCAATTATAAAATGTTAAAGTATTTGTAAAATTGAAAAATATACCAGTACCTATTAATCAAAATTTTAATTACAGTCACAACAGTATTATGATGAACTAAAAAAAATATTGGAAATTAAGGATGTTAATAAAATTAGAGAAATGTTTGATGGCCGATTATCATTTGGTACAGCTGGATTAAGGGCAGCAATGGCTCCGGGCTTCAATCGTATGAATGAACTAGTTGTTATTCAAAGTGCTCAAGGTTTACTCTATTATATGTTAAGCGTTTTTGGTGAACAATTAAAAACTTCAGGGATCATTTTTGGTTTTGATGGGCGGTATAATAGCAAAAGGTAAGTTTAATAAATTTTAGTTTATACAGTCCTAATGTAAAGTATAATGAGTATAATAAATATATCTATATTTATAGATTTGCAGAATTATCAGCTTACGTGTTCATAAAGCATTCTGTTAAAGTATATTTACTAAGTGAAGTCTGTCCTACCCCATTTGTAGCATTTGGCATTAAATATTATAAATGTTGTGGAGGAGTAATGGTGACTGCGTCTCATAATCCAAAAGAAGACAATGGATATAAAGTTTACTGGGATAATGGAGTTCAAGTTAGTAAGTTTGAAATAATTTAACTAAAAAAAAATTGAAATTTGATTTGCATTAAGTGTTTATATAATTACAGGTGATATCCCCTCACGATATAAATATACAAACATATATTTTAGAACATTTAGAACCCGAAGAAAATGTATGGAACATAGAATGCTTATATGATAGTAATTTACTCTCAGATCCAATAATGGAACTTCAGGAACATTATTACAAACGTGTGAATGAATTGTTATTTCCTGATTTAAATAAAGAAATTTCTAATATAATATTCACATATACACCAATGCATGGTGTTGGATACCCTTATATAGAAAAAGCATTTAAAAACTCAAAATTTAATGTATGAGGATGATTTTTTTATAAATTGTTATTTGCCCAACTATTATATATAATAGTATTTATTTATGTGTTTAGCCAGTTGTACCAGTAGAACAACAAAAAGATCCAAATCCTGATTTTCCAACTGTACGATTTCCAAATCCAGAGGAAGGTAAAAGTGCATTAAAGTTAGCTTTTGAAACAGCTGAACAAAACAACAGTACAGTTATTCTGGCAAATGATCCAGATGCTGATAGATTGGCTATAGCTGAACGCTCGTTAGTAAATTTTTTTTATTAATTATTAGATTTTTTTTTTTTTAAATTTCTAATTATATTGGGTAAATTACAGTATAGGATGCAAAAAATGGAAAATATTTACTGGTAATGAGCTTGGTGCTTTGCTAGGATGGTGGATGATTCAATCTTATAAATTAATAAATGGGCATGTACATCCTAAAATTGCTGTACTTTCAAGTACTGTATCTTCAGCAATTCTTAAATCCATAGCTAAAAAAGAAAACATTTATTTTGAGGTTTGTTAAATTGTATAATTTCTTACATTTACATTTTATTTTGTATTAATTAAATTTTTTAGGAAACACTTACTGGATTTAAATGGATGGGCAATAGAGCGAATAAATTAATTTCTGAAGGTTTTGAAGTTCTTTTCGCATTTGAAGAATCAATTGGTTATATGTGTGGTACTTCTGTATTGGATAAAGATGGAATATCTGCAGCAATTAAAGTAGCTGAACTAGCTATATATTTAGAGAAAGAAAACTCTTCTTTATCTTCAGCTTTAGAGACTATTTATAATGTGTAATTAACCAACAAAATATAAAATAATATTTTGATTATTGTTCATAATGTTCATTTTAGCTATGGTTGGCATGTTTCTGTGAATTCGTATTTTATTTGCAATGATAGTTTAATAATAAAACGAGTGTTTGACTCTTTAAGACAGCAAAGAAATGTAAAAAAACAATATGAATTATATTGGTTTAGAAATTTAATTTTTATTTAAATTTTCAGTATCCCAATTCTATTCTTAATGGTAGATACTTAGTTAAATCAATTCGTGACTTAACAATTGGCTATGACTCAAGTACAAGTGATCACAAACCTATTCTACCAGTTTCAAAATCATCTCAAATGATCACGTTTAATTTTGAAAATGGTTTGATAGCTACTCTCCGAACAAGTGGAACAGAACCCAAAATAAAATATTATGCTGAAATATGTGGTGATCCTCAAAAATCAAAGTGAGTTTATTTTAATTCACATGTATAAAATTACATTAACTGAGTTCTATGAGTATCCCCTTAATAAGTTTCGATATTGTTACTACCATATATTTAATTAGTTCATTAATGTATGAACTGATAAATTATTTCATCATTCAATAGTAATTATTGTTTAAATAATATAGTTTTAAATGTGTTAAATAAATGCTAAATGTTACCCGAAAAACCCAACATTTGATACTAATTTTTAACACATTGAATCCAATAATCTCTACATTAAATAGATTGAAAAATATTTTTTGTATAATATCAATCACGGATAGTTTGGTAGGTACATACATGGCCAAACAGTTATTTTCTAAAATGCAACCAATACTCTAAAAATTTTGGTTGGGTTTAGTAAATTATCAAATATTTTTGTTTCATTTCAAGAATTTGTTACATAAATCTTTAAAATTATCTTATTAACACATATGTCATGGTTACAAATTGCTTACTATAATTAATGAAATTATTATAAATTTATGAACTCAGAAATAATAAAGCTGGGTGTCCTCACTTGAAATAATAACACATATTACATTAATAAAAAGTAATAAATAAGATATTATCATTACCTGTCTTTCTGGATATCTTTTTTGGTCTATCAAAAACAGATTTGTGAAAGTATTTTTTCATTGTAAATATCCATACAATTTAAACATGGTAAAAACAGAGCCTTAGTTAGTCAAGGATGGCAATGAATACAAATGGTTATGAATGTTTTGTTTAACTTCAAAAATGTAGCAAACCAATATAACAATCCATTCAATTGACGGGTACATTGAATTGGGGTCTTAAAGTGGTATGTACACATTCATGGCATTAGACAAAAAAATAAACTATTTTTCATGGGGTGGAACAGCAACTACATTTACTGGTACACACATCACAAAAACGTGTTTTGTGACATGATCGATCAGTTGTAACTCTGAAAACAGAGAGATAGAAGCCCGTGGTAAAATGGGAGATAGACCTGGTCAGCTACTACTCATATGTTGGCCTGTCAACTTGGGCAAACAGAATTGTTCTTTTAAAATATGGTATAACCACAATATTACACATTACTAATTTAAAAATTATTTTATTTAATTATATTTTTATAATACTATATAATTTCTTTACAGTGATGCAAATAAACTAAAATGTTTATTAAATAAAATGGTTGAAGGAATAATTGCAGAATTTTTAAAACCTGAAGAAAATTCACTTATTTGTCGCAGTGAATAATAATAAATAACTATTTGCTATATTATTATATGGCATAAATATTTATTGGAACCTATTTACTTCCCAGCTATTATAATACTAATAATTATTTTTTATTATTATTATTAAATTGTTTACAATTAAATCTGTTATTATAAATAGTATAACTTTAAGTTCTGAATATTAAGTTTCCATATTATTTGTTATCATAAATATTTTTAAAACATATAATATAGAAAATTATTTGAATAATTATTTTTATTGTTTAATCTTTATAATTAAGTTTTAACAAAACTTTTTGTTTATCTACAACTTGCCATAACCCCCAAGATATTCTCATAATCAATTTTTTCTGTGATATTTTTTGTTTTAATATTTTCATCTTGGTTTGCAATAAAGACATACTTATTATCCATCTCTTTCCAGTTATATTTTTGAATCCAGTGTTTTAATGCAGCATCTATTATTAAAAAGTACTTATTATTAATTTGGATAAAAACTTAAGAATCAAAAGTTAACTCATCTAAAAAATATAATTTTATTAGTATATTCACCATCAAGTCCTCCAAGTAATTCCATAAGAAAATGTTTTTCAACTGACTGAAATGTAATTCCTATTACATGACAAACAAACTTCCTGACTGAATCTAAAAATCCAGTTACTTTAGCATATAATTCAGGCATAGAATGAACATGATACCAGAACTCTTTAAAATTGCAGTTTTCTAATAAATCAGCTAGGAACAGTACTTGACTCAATGGAGCTTCTTGACACTGCAATTCATGAAAAATGGTACTTAGAATTTTAATAATAAGTTAATTATTGATTAATCAAAATTATGAGTTTTTTTATTTTTATTTTATTTAATAAATAAGTAAATGTCTAATACTTAAGTCTAAATTAAAAAATACTATAAATAAAAGTATTATTTTAGTAACATATTATTGAATTGCATTATAATATAAAAGAAACATTTGGACTTTAATACTCTTAACATAACCTATAATATACACTGTATCACGTAGTAAGTTATGAAACTTAAATTATTAATATTGCATAATTACTATGCTCATATACTTCACTCTCTTGTTTCGATAATTGACTGTATGTCTTGAATCTTTATTTGACACCTTTTCAAGTAAAATTTAATCCCCTGATTTACTACCCTTATTAATCTGCAAGTTACTTCTAGTTACACTTATTTAATTTTCCTTTCCAAATACCATATACCCCTACAAATTACCACCAATATTCTCCTATAATAGAATTAATACAAAACAAAAAAACTAAAACTAAACTTTGATCAAGTTAGCCTTAAATTACTATTTATATAATTTGTTTAGTCATTATTAGTGCAAATATTTTAATCCAAATGTTATAATAAAATAAAATAATAATTTAATAGGACTTTGAAAGATTTAAGTCTTGTTATAATAAAATGATAAACTTTGAAAAAGACTTGGTTTATTCCTTTACCAGTAATAAAAATAAAGGAAAGTTACAAATTTGTATTACCAATTTTTCATTCAATAAACACTTGCAGAGCACAAAATCAGAATGGGGGAAGTTTGTAATGGCTTTAAGCATGATTTGGACTGTTATGTCCAAATTGTATTCATGATGAAATTGGTATATTTTAAGAACAGCCAAATTAGCTTCCAGATCATAAGCGTTTTCTTGTGATTGTACTTCAACATAATGTTCAAGTGTTGACAAATGCTGGGGATTATACCTAAATAGTTAAAAAATCAACCAAAAATTAGCTGAGTTTAGTTCAGATACAACAGAAAATATAAAAATCCACTTACCTTTCAATTCCCTGTAATAAAGATGCAACTGTTTGCCTCATAGCTTCAGCCATTTTAATAAGATGAAAATTAATTTTAATAATAAAAAATTAATATTGTATAATCGGCTAGTAAAAATTACAAAAATTGTATATGAGATTTCAGAGTTTGAAGGTATAATTGATTAATTGTTAAAGAATGTGGAAATACACAAGTCGCGTGTCGTATAATACCGAATTACCGAATGATGATAAAATGATTCTATGACCAGTGTAGCCAATATGATTTAGAAAATTTCATATTTGTATCATGTACAGATTATAGATATGTGCAGAATATATGTTTATCATTTATTATGTGATTTTACCGATGAAAATCCTTTTATATTTTTGATTGAGTTAAAATATGTATTTGTTATCAAAGATAAACGATTTTTTACTGGCTTCTTCAAAATGTTAAAAACAGCTGCAAATGCCAAGGACCCCAATGACTACCTAAAGGATTGTATTTATTTTAGAATTTTTAATGAAGAAGAAGAATGAAAATTATTACTAAAATTTGATATTGAGTATTGAAGGTTTACTTAGATTTGTTCAAATCAAATTATTTTTTTCAATAAGGTGCACAATATGTTTTGTCATGTTTAAAATCATTAATTATTCATAAGTATTATTTAAGATTTAGTTGCTCAATATTCCATTAAAAGTAATTTTTTGCTCACAGTCTTATTGAAATATATAGTAATGTTATTTCTATAAATTATTAGTTATTTTGAAGAAATGAGAAAAATATAAAATTTATTGTCACAATTATTTTATTAATAATTACTTTTTAAATACCATGGACTATTTATGTTTATACTTGTTTTAGATTATAATATTAAATATGGCTGAACTTCAAAATACTATTGGAATATTAGGTAGAGAACTAATTAGAACTCAAATTACAGGTAAACATTTTTTTACTTTTTTAACAGTATTTTATTGTCTAATGAGTGAGGCTCTAGTTTTTCTTATATTCTAAATTTAAATTATATTATGATGTCATATTATTATATTTTGAAAAGTTGAATTTACTAATCTAGTTATATACTGTCATGAAATTTCAAATGGATTTTATGAAAGTATCTCTTGAATATCTCAAGGACACTTACACAAGATATTACCTTTCAAACATTTGTAAACTATATAAATTTATCTCATTTTCACACTTCTGATACAAAATAAATATAAGTTTAAACTTAATAATCATTTCATTAAAGCGATTTTAATAAAATTTTAGGTGAAGGTGAATGGCCAAAAAATACAGTTTTATATCAACCTTATGAGACAGAACAGATGTTATTGCCTGATAGTTCAAAATGTTTGGCTGTCAAAACATTTTTAAAGATGTTGAAGTTAGACTTTATTGTAGAAGCTAGAGAAAATGCTGAATACATGTCACCCCATCGAGGCAAAGTACCTTTCATTAAAGCTGCCCAATTTTTAGTTGCCGATTTTGAGCCAATTGTTAACTTTGCTCAATCTAAAGTAATAATACTTATTAAATTATCTGTTATTCCTATTTAAGTACATTTTTAAATTCAATGAACTAAATAATATTCAAGATAAATTAACTAAAACCACATCCAACCCTTTTTTTTTTTTTTTTAATAAATTATTGAAACACACGAGCATAATAAACTATAATTATGCCATTGTTTTAACAGTATAATTATTTATAAACAAATATGTAACATAAAAAGAAAGGGTACCCTTCATTTTTTTTTTCATACTTTATTTGGTTGAGCTGACTGCTACGTGTTATGATAGCATTTATTATATTAGTGATAAAATGTAATTTTATTGACATGCAAGTAAGGTGGTCAGCTGTGCTTACTACTTCTTTAGATGGATTTCTCTACCTTACTACTTTTGAACTGGTTCAAATAGACTGTTTGTGTGTACACCATTATCACCAAATTTTCCATTCTTTTGAATGGTACCATTCACTACTCACCTAACTACATTGTCACCTATTGATAAACATTAATTAAAATTTTTCTTTGTAACTTCCAGCACTGATTAATAAAATTTTATTGACCCCAACTCTCAAGGCTAACCAGAAAATTGTCATCAGACCACTAAAATTAAAATCTTTTTAAATAATTATTTATAATTTTTACTAAAAATATTATTCCTATATTATCAAATATATATTGTAATTAAATATAATTTAATTTTTATGTACATGACAACTTCTGCTTAAAATTATATTTAATTAAATTAACGTTTAATTTTAGGGTTATTCATTATCAAGCCATTTGACTGAACCTCAACAAAAGTGGGACCTGAGAGTTTACATGGCACTTGTAAATAATGTTCTATTAAATGCTGAGGTAAGATTATTTTTTCAATCATTACTTAAGATAAGAACTAAAAGACAATTTTTTTAGATCTATGTCACATGGAATCATGAATCAACTTATAAAGAAATTACTAAACCAAGATATAGTTCTGTTTATCCTTTTCCTTTGAATCATTTAGCTACTTACCATAAACGAAAGACTATGCTATCTTATTTAACTGTATTAAATTGGAAAGATAAAACATTAGATGAAGTGTTCAAAGAAGTTGATAAAGTCTGTTCTTCTTTATCTAGTGTTTTAGGAGAAAAGAACTACTTTTTCAACAATAAGTATGAAATTTTGAAAATCTAGCAATACCATTACCATTATTTAATTCATATAATCTTTTTAGGCCAACTGAACTAGATGCATTAGTATTCGGACATTTATTTGCTATTATTACCACACCACTTTTAAATAACCGTTTTGCTGCAACTATTAGAGCTTATGACAACTTGGTACAGCTTTGTGTGCGCATTGAAAGAGATTTTTTCCAATCTAGAATTCTAAGATAAAACATTAGTTTTTTGTTTGGTAATATTTTAAATTAAAGAATGTTATATAGTATAAAATAAAATATGTGTACTTTAATTATATTTGTGTTTATTTAATTAATCAGTGGTTATTAATTGATGCACTTATATTAAATTGAATATCATAGTTTATAATTTCCTGGAAGTAATAATAATTTTGAGTACCTTTTTTAAAAAAAAATCTGGTTAAATTGTTTTAATTGGTCTTATATTTAATCTTTGTAAAGTTAGAATCATTATAGTTTTACTATAGTTAATTCTGAGAAGTTATATAAATTTTTTTAATAAAAAATGATTTTCTCACTAAAAAAGGAAATTATATAAAAATAATTTTAAAAACAAAAAAAAAATAATTATATCAGAATTTGTATAGTATTATAGTAATAGTTGTTAATGAGGTGGTTATGAGTATCCATGTACTTAGACCTATTTGTCTATTTTAAACCTTCTATGCTGAATTATGGTAATTTGGTTTATTTACTAGTGTTTCAATCATAGTATTGTTATATTTGATAACTATGATAATAATTAATAATTGATTAACCCAGTAATCATTATAGTGAAGGTTGTGAGAACAGAAATCTTCATCACTACATTCTAAAAATTATCTTGACCCTTCATTTCCGAATTTACCACTTGTCTAGCTAAATAGCTTTAATTATAATTTATATAGCACATCTTATAAACCACCTATGTAAAATGCAGGTTAACTTTTAAATGAATGTATTATTACATTTTTTGTATATAATTTTATGTTAATTAATAAATAATAACATTAAAAAAGCACATAAGATAATTTTCAGAAATAGTTATTTTATTATATAGGGTTAATTCATACCAAATCATCCAGAAATGGTTGCAGATCATCTCATTTTTTTCTTAAATTTTCAGGGTTTATTCTTTATGGTATAATTAAATTAAATAGCCAGAACGTTAAAAACACACAGATTATTCAATATTGACTTAATAAAATTACAATTTTAGACTTGACCTTATTATAACATAAAGTTTATATATATATATATAAAAAAAATTATGTAAAATTCTAAGTTTTAATGAATTTCTAAAAACCGCGTTTTTTTTTTTGTGAAAATTAGCTTTTTGAGCGCACTTAAAACCATTAAAAAGTTATTATTTTATAATGATTTTCAAATGTGGTATTATATAGTGTATAATAGTGAAATTTCAAATATTTATAATTAGTCTCATCACATGGAACATAATAACATTTCTGTTCTTATATAAAATATAAAAGTATATACATATATATAAGTTAATAATTTTTCAACTAAATTTTTGTTGAATTTTTTCTATTAGTCTTATAATTTTGTCTTGATATTAGTTAGGTCTGGACAATAGTGTCCAGACTTAACTAATAATTTACCACAAGAAAAGTATGTGGATTTGTCAGTTAGGTCTGAGATGCTCTGTACATGTAGTTTTTCAAAAATTTTGAAACAGCTTAATCTCTCCAAACCCTTTCCATTTGTGCTAATGTAAATATTACAATAAGTTTAAGAAAAAATTTAATGGTTAAAAAAATTATTTTCTATTTTGAATTAAAATACCAATAAAAAGTACTTAACAAGTATTTAAAATGCTAAGAAAGTATTCAAATACTTATATTTGAATATTTAACAATATGAAAAACATGGTACACAAATTAATGTTTTAACTTGAATTTTAAATGGTTTATCATTATAGTAGTTATAATTATTGGACCATGAAAAATTATTACTATAAAAATTATAATTGTTAATTTAAAATAATTATTCATCTGTAAATGAGATATTATAGAAAATTAGATTGAGTTAAACATGATTATTTTATTTTTATCAATCAAGAATTTGTATTATTATAAAATACTATTTAAACTTAACACATTATACAAATAAATGATGAATTATGAGGTATTTTAATACTCATTGAATTAACAGCTAACAAAACTAATAAATACATAATAATTTGCAACTAAAAATAATTTTATCCTGTAATTATCAAAATTTGTTTAAACTAAACTAATAAGCATACATTTAAAAAAATATTATTTTAAAAACTCGGGTTACATAATATTATTTCTACATAGTAAAACAATTATCATTTTGTTTTGTTTAAATATTAAAATTTTTAATAGCTGAATATATATATTAACACTGTACATTCACTATATATAGGAATTAATATAAATATTAATTAACTAAGTATTGTCATATATTAAAAAAAAATGCATTAATTCAACATTTGTAACAGGAAGACAGTATATGTGAACTATTTTGTAAATATATCCTACTTTTCATTTTGGTGATATTTTACACTAAAGCTAAAGATATTCAACTAAATCATGACATGATAAAATTTTAACCAATTAATATAATTTTTCCAGACATGACTAATTTAGTTAAAAAAGTAGGGTTGGTTTAGTTAAAACCAACACTACATTTTCACATTTACATTATTAATTTCAAATAAAGGGGAAAATTTCTTAGTAACAGTTAATTTTATTAATATGATATGATGACAATTCAATAAAATTAAAAAACATGGAATATAATAGACGGATTATATAAAATCGTTTAGAAAAAAAATTGTTTTTTCTATGTTATTTTTCATTTTAAAAATAGGTTTCACCTTGCCAAAACTAAAAATACGTCACTAAAAATAAATTGAATCTACAAATTTGCTTGGAATTATATCAAAGTTGTTTAATTATGAAACATTAAAATTTAACCAATAATTTTACTTAAATTTAAAAATTACTATAGTAGAATTGGTTAATTAAAATCGCACAAAAAAAATAAAATACTTTAGATTAATTTGTGATGTTATTTCAAGAATTAAACAATTTAAAATAAAATGGTAACAAACAAATAATAAGAAAACCAAATTGTTAAAATGTAAATCGGTATCAATTGTGCACTAAATTCTTGAATACTTTTAATAATTCTGATGAACAATAGTTGAATAAAATAAATAAGTACACATTATTGAGTAAAAATATGTTCAAATTTACAAATCAATATAACGTTGCAGGTAGTAATAAAATTTTAAATCTTTAAGTTTATCACAGTTATTAAAGTTTTATACATAATACTGATTCTATATTAATATTGCTTATTAAATAAACAATATATTTTAACTATTATTTTTTTAAATAAAATAATATGGCTTAGTTTAGACCAACTCAAGTGTATTTCTACCCTGTAGTTATATATTTTGGAATGTTAAAAATTTTGGCAACTATTGTTTTATTAAAAATTAATTGTTAGTAAACTTTTAAGATAAAATTAAAACAATAAGTAAACGAAAATTTTTTTATTCGTAATTTAACCTCTAAAATTACTCAGTATAGAAAAAATAAATGACTTTAAAATGTACTATATGCAAAATAATTTGATTTTAAAGTATTAAATTTAATACTGATTCAATTAAGATATTTAGCAAAAATAAACAAATCAGATAAACTCAATAAAAGCAAATATTTGCAAGCTATATGCTATAAATTCTACTTGATTTTCAAATAAATATCAAAAATTAAAAATTGGAATATGTTAATTACAGCATTATTTCGTCTAGAATTTGAAATTGATTTAAATTAATTCAGATTTATAGAATTATAAATAAAAATAATTGTTGAAATTTTTATTAAAGTAAATAAATTAAATTACAAATATTTAAAAATAAATTTTTTAATACTAGTAACTATTGATTAACACAAATTCAACTTTTATTATTTTTTTGTAATATTTAAGCGAAATTGTAAAATTAGTATTAAGATTAACAAATTAGGATATTTAAATCAGAATTGTGTTATTAATATTTTGCATCATAATTAAGATTGAAAAAATACATTAATGGTAACAAGAATTTATAAATAAATTGAAATGTTTATAAGCAAATTCAAAATTTCAATTGTGTTTTTTATAATTATTTTCAAGCATTATTTTTAATCAAATATAAACAATAATTATAAGCTAACTTAATCTTAAAACATACAAAGATTTTTAATTATTAGGGAACATGGTAATAAAATACTTATTATACAGCTTTTAAAATATACTATGACACAACCTTATTTATATTAAATACAAATATGCAATAAAAAAGGTTAACATATTTACATTATAACTTTTTTAATCACAAATTTTAGGACTCTTAAGTTTTTAATTAATGAATAATAAAATATACTTTTAAAATGGTAACGCTAAATAATCACTTTGATAAGTTTTAGACTTAATTTAAATTATTAATTACAAAAATTAATTAATACAGAGGGTGATCATTAAAATAATTACTATTTATGGAAAACATAATCAATAGTAAAACAATAGTGATTAAAAAATGATAAAATAATAAAAAAATAAAAAACAATTATACATACTTAAAGTTTTAAAATAAAAAGATAGGAAAAAGTCAAATTTATAAAGTGTCCCTCAACATTAATTAAATAGTGCAAAGAATTAATTTATAGTACTTTAAATCAACCCTCTGCCATTGTTATATATCTAACATATAAATTATTTTAAATTACTTATATTAACTCAAGAAACAAGTAAAATTAGTAATCATTTTAAATATTCAAACAATAAAATAATATAACAGATATTCTGTTACAGTTCATACTATAAAAAGAAAATTGCACTTACGTTTAATTTATAAATAAAATATATTTATTTAATTATTACTTCGTCTACTTCTTCTTGATACTGGTTCAGTAGTATCTCTTGTAGCATGTCGCTTACCACCTTGTGACTGAGCACTCATTTGCAAGCTGATTGCTTGCATGTTCAATTTCTTAGCCACAAGCAAATCTTTCATACCTCTCATCTTTTTACTTCTTAATATAACTGATGTCACAAGTTCGTCATGAGCTGTTAGTTCAACAATTGGTTCTGAGGAATCTACAATAGTCGGAACTACTGTATCTATATTGCCTACAAAGGGTTCTCCACCACCTTGTAGTAAAAATTCTCTATTCAAAATACGTTCACTACAAGCTGCTGTTAATGCTTCAATACCTGGATGGAGTTCTGATTTTACTTCATCAACAGCAACAGGTGCTGTAGTATTTGAATTATCTTTAGAAATTAGTTGATTATTATTGTTAAGTCCATTGTCATGATAATTTTGTTTGATAGTATTATCATTATCCAACTCCTATTTAATTTGAAAATATAATTATCAGCTTAAAATTACAAAAAAAAAAAAAAGTATATAAGAATGGTAATCAAATATAAATGTAGAACTCTAGATTAAAATAGATTAAAACTCTAGATTAGAAACATTATTAACTGTAGTAAATTGATGAAGTTAACCTGACATTTATATTTGTACTATTATTTAACATTTAATAATAATTAATTAGTAGTAAGACTTACATTAGGATCTAAAATTATAAGTCGAGTTCGCACACTATCATCAAATTTAGAAATAGAATTGATGAAGTGTTTTGCCCATTTTATATGCAATACAGGAGTTGCTCCATCTTCCTCCCACAGACATAATCCATCATAAATTGATAAAACATAAGCATAACACTGAGGATTATTTAAAATTGATCTACTTTTACCACAAGTCATTTCTTTTAATGAATAAGGAATAAGTTCATAGGCAATATCCATCATTTCTTTGTATAGTTCTTCGTCATCTTTACTAAAGCTATACCTAAATGATTTAAAGTTATTATTTTTTTTTCTAAAATTTTATATGCTAAGAAAAAATTTTCTTACTTGCTTATAACCCGACTAGCTTTTGACCAACTATCAAATGCATCTTTTATCATATTATGCCTATAATAGTACCCTCCTTGATATGTGTAGGGGTATACAAACATATCGTTATAGTATGTTTGAGCCGCTAGTATAGCTTCTTCAAACAATGCTGTACATGGTGGTCTTCCATGAGTAGCGTTAAGTTCTTCTAAGTCACCTAAGTTACCTATACAATTTATAAGAAAAAATAAATATATGTCGTATTATAATATTATATTTATATAAATAAATCATTACCCAATGCCAGAGGGAATTTTGATAAATGACCTTCATCATACAAAAGCCATAATAATTTTTTTTGTAGTGTAGCAACTTCTAAAGCATCACTTGTTTGATTAATACTGGGGTTTATAGAGCTGACAAGTGCTGAAACTTCCATATGTCTATTGCATATAACTGGATAGCCATTAACATACAACCAAGATCCATGTCCTGGATCTGATTCTTTGATTTTCTGCCCACGTTTATCTTCATTCCCTTTACCTATATTTATTTACATATTATTTAGATATCAACTGTATAAAATAACTAATTTTACAGAAAATAATACTAATTTAAAAGTAATTACCATGCCAAGTAACTTCAGCATTATCAGTACCATTAGGACCAAAAACAACCCACGCATGATCTTCAGACAAAGCTAAATGCACATCATTATAACCTAGTATTTGGCAACCTGCAACTACAGCAAAAGCAACACCAAAACAATCTAATTTGGATCCTAAAAAACAAAAATGTTAAATCTTCATATGACAACTTTAATTTGATAAAAGTTTTTCAAAGTAAAAGTTTAGTTACCAGTTAAATAACTGTACATGCTTTGAAGATGAGCTCTGTCTTTATAATAAGTCCTAGTTAATGTGTTCCATATAATATCAGAAACTCTTTTGACAAGTTCTCGAGTAGCGTAACCATTGCCATCAAATTGCACAGGATCCACACTACCCTTGATAATTGAATAAAATTTAGTATAAAGAGCTTGAATAATATGTAATTCAATTTCTGGTAAACCAAGTGATAATTGTTCAATATCAATATCTGTTTCTACAGTTGCTACTGCTGGTATTTCGATGCTTGGCCTCACACATGTCATTGTATTTTCAATTGCTCCAGCTACCACTGAGAGGAGCAACAGATCTGGTTCACGTTTAACAAGTTCACGCCGAAAAAGTTCCACAACATTGGGTATATTGCCCAAAGGAAATAAGTCAGCATGTTGCTTGAAAACCTTAAATGGCATTGTGTATGAATTACATAAAAATGTTACCTTCAATGACTAGTACTGATATCGAAGTAATAGGAGAGGAAAATTCTGTAACGTTCAAGCAACTCTATAGTTTGAACTGTGCATTTAGTGCCAATAGTTGCAAAAACGGATTTTTGTCTAAATCGAATATTCGTTATTCACCGTTCTGATTTTACCGCGTTTACAGAGTTATCCACAACGACCACAAATCGGTAGCTGGAAGAAACACCGGATTACAAGATCTCCAGTGTATTCGACAATAAAAACGTTACGGGCCTTCGTTTCGTCTGTACCGCATCGGTCACATTATTCTAAGACTGTCTTTGTTATTGTTGATACGGTTACCGCGACACAATAAAAACATTATGCAAGGCGCCGCTGCTGATAATTCGTGACGTGTGTTATGACGTCATGAAGAAACGCATGTGCTGTGTAATAGTAAGCTATATTATTATTTGTAAATATTTTTTGTTTTAAGTATTATTAATATTTTTTTGCAGTTGATTTACACGAAAAGCATTTAATTCAATATGCTTAGGCTGCACTAAAGATTGTCAAAAGAGATACGATTAGGATTTAAAACAGTGTGGTATCCAGGATTTTAGAGTTAGAGAGGGCAACCTTTAAGTTATAGTAATATATGAAAAATATTTTAAGTAGCATTAAAAAATTTTAACTATAAAATTATACTTTGATTTAATTTAAATAATTAAGAAAGAAATAGCAAAATAAAATAGAAAAAATAAATATAAACTTTTTCTTTTTACTAAAATTAAAAATATTAACTCTCTTTTTTTAATGATTATTAATATTATATATATTTTTCGAATAATATAGTTATCAATAATAAAAAAAAGTAATCTGTGTATATAATAATTACTGTGTTTCTTTTTAATTTTGTCTTGTGAATATTGTGAGTAAGTACTTTATCGTCGATGTAGAACGTCTATTTTATTGTAAACATAGTAAAACAATTTTTGATCTTCAGAACATCTAAGTTTTAAACGCTATAAATGCACACTTCCAAATTTTTTTTTACTATTTAGCAGAGATCAGCTAAAAATACTGCCATATTCGACCCAACTTTTTTTTAAAGCACAATCCGTCCCTACCTACATATGTAAACTTTTGGACCGGTCCGGCCAAATAAAAGACAAATTAATTAAGCCCAATTCAAAATTTATTTTATTCACTCGACTCAAACCAAACCAAATATATATATATACAATTTTAGGCCCGATTCAGTTCAGAACAAACTTAAGAAAAAGAATCAAATCCAATTAGATCTGATCCGTTCAAAAATAATCGGTCTGAAAGGTAAAATAAATATTACAGGCCGACCCAGCACGACCCTAATTTTGGATTTATGCTAATCCTGAGATTGACAACTTTACGTAACTTCTTATCACTGTTTTGCAAGATAATTTAAAAAAAATCTACTAATTTTAATTATATATGTTACTGTATTAATAATTTACTAATTTATCTAATAAATAATCACTCTTCATGCATCCGCATGATATAAAAATGAATAATTAAACAAAACAAATATTGATAATATTTAAGTGTAAAAAAACAAATTTAAAAAGAGTTACCTGATTAAAATAAGATTTTTAGAACATTTTTATTATCGCAATAAACATGTTACTCTTCTATAAAATTATTAGTAAATGCTTGTTACTAATTAATACTTCAATGTTATAACTAGAAAATTATAATGACCAAAGCGAGGACATGTATAGAACACAAAACTATTTGGCAATGAGAATTCTAAAAAATGCACATTGAAATATTTGATAGTGAATTTTAGATTATAATGTTGGTATACAGTGTTGAAACTCGGAAATCCTAATTAAATTTAAAAGACATTTTTAAAATTGCTACATTTTTTAGGATTAATAAGATAATTATACATTTTACAGTTAAGTTAAACATAATTAGGATATAATTTTACCCTACATTTTGTATGTTTTCGACTTTATTGACACGCATATTGAATTATACTTCAAATAAAAATAAAAACAATCATTCAAATTTATTGCAACTGAAGATATTTTTAAAATTTATTTCTTAATAAAAAAATAGTTGAATATTTACTGATACATTAGTTAACTAGATTTAAAACTTATAAAACCCTGCTCTTAAACAAATACTGTACAATCATTACAACCTTTTTTTATTAATCTATATGTATAATAGTTGTAGTTCTCTAATAGAACACATTATTATTAAATAAATAAAATTTTAATTTTATCTGACTAGTTAGTTTAGAGAAAATTTGTGATGGGGTTTATTTCTAATTTAATAATTATCTATGTAAAATTAAATTAATTTAAATAATTAACAATTGATTTAGGGTAACATTATTGTGAAAAATTATTATTGATTTAATGATTTTCTGAGACATTTAAAATAAGCTTGAAATTCATTACGAGAGGAGGTAAGCTCCATAAATGTTTCCTCCTTTGCGCAATACTATCAATTTTAGCTTCATAAGTAAAATGTAATTTTGAGAAATCAAAATTGTGATTGAGTTTATCCCCTTGGACCCCCTGAATTCGTGTATGGCTAAAAGTAAAATATTTTTAAGTTTCAGTTAAGTTAACTCATTGATAATTATATTTATCTTAATATATTTTTTAAAATTATATTCAAATTTATAGTTTAATTTTTGAATATTCACTCAAAATACTTAAAATTTTATTTTTAACATATTTATATACAGTAAATGTCACGTAATATTCATACGAAATTAAAATAATTCTGATTGTTTTTATAATAATATTTAAAAAATATTTTTAACAATAATATTTGTTTTGAAAACATAATTCTAATCACAGATTTAAATTTTAATGAGGGTAAATTTATATAATAGCACTGTATGGACTCGAATATTTGGTAATCGTGAATTTTGTTATGTAAAATAAAAAAAAAAATCAAGGTTACCAAAGATTGAACATAACCTGTATTATTAATGACAAATTTTATCATAGGACAATCTTTAAACATTGGGGCCTCGTTAATAAAGAAGTCATACTAAAACATTTTAGATCAGATAAATTATATTTTTCTTTTTTGTACATCTATTGGTAGGCTCATATTGGAGGGTGGCAATACAGGTTATAAGTTTCAAGATTTGGTAAGTAAAGGCTTAACTACATCAGTATTTTTTGATATTAATATTGAAGACATGAGAGGTTAGTCATATCAAAATGCCAGTAATATGAAATTATCAGGCTTACAAGCCAGTATCAAAGAAATCAACCCACAGCCTGTTAATCACTATGCAATGCTCACTCTCTAAATTATGTAGATACTTGTATAGCTAATTCTGTAAAGAGGAATTGACCTTTTTTTGCGCCTAAAAAAATTGGCCAGGGGTTCCAAATGTCTATCGAGAGTAGTAGTGTATCCAGAGTTTAAAAATAAGAGTCCCTAAGCTTAACCCATGTATACGATAGTTATGTATTTATGAGCTGTGTCGTCCTTAAGAAAATTAATTTTTTTTTTTTATGAAAAAATTTAAAAATATTAATAAGAAAAAATAGATGTTCAATGCATAAAATTTGTAAGTTTTAAGCATAATATAAGGTTAGTTTTTCATTTGTGTGAAAATAAAACATGCCATCTGGACCAAGTGCAACCAATTTCCTCCTTAAATGCGGCCCTGTCCGTAGATTTAAATTACAAAAAATCACCAAAAGCAATGCCGGCTCGTGGGTGCTGGTGGTGGGAGCGCGACTTAAATATAATACCGCTATTTATAGGTATAAAAAGTTATCAAATTTAGGGTCCGACACACTAGGACGGTTGCGCCGTACGGTCCTAACCTTACGGTTATATTAACTCATGTCACACTGAACGGCTTGAAAACGGTTTTGCCGAGTTTTTTTGTTAATAATTCAATAATTTATATTTTATTCATTCAGTTGTCTTCTACTTTTTTTATTTTATTTTAATTATTATTTAAGACTTTTAACTAAGTATTTATTAATGCTTTTAATATATATCAGTATACAATTCATATTTTGCTACATTAAAAGTTAAAATTACAAGTGAAATTTGTTCTTTAATTGTTCAAATAAACTTATAAAATTAGTTAAGTTTATTTATTTAAGAAAATAACTTCGTTTATTAATCTAACACTTTACATAAATATAGTTTTTGTCATCTAGGAGTCCTAGACTAGGACTATAAAACTTGGCCGCCTCCTATACGTAAAGATTAACTTTTTTCAGTTTCTTGTCTCAAAATATTAATATTGAAACAATTAGTCATTATTTTAAAAGTTACTACCCCTTAATTTTTAACGTCCACAAGTCATATAGACTTTGTGTTATTACATATAAGTAAAAATTGCATTAAACTAAACTCCTTCTTTTACTTTAAATGAACTTTGAGAATTTTACAAATACTACTCGCGTAATAGTTGCTGCTGAAGCATCTTTTAAGCCCCGCTAAAGAAACACAGAAGTATTGAGTTCATCCTTATAATTCCAATAGGGAACAAAGTAAAATATTCGTAAAATTCTACCAAAAAATTAAAATGTATGACGACAAATTTTTTAAATACTATCGTATGATTATAAAATTCTTCGGTTAATTAATTCAAAAATTAAGACCATCGCTGATGAAACAAATCGCTAGATTTCGAGAGCCTATTTGTGCAAAAGAAAGATTACACTTACTCAGTGCCGGAGCAAGTGGGGTACCTGCTCCGGGCCCCGCGATTGGATTAATTTGTCTTAAGCGTAACTACTTTTTTGTCGGATGAGCAAAAAAAAAAAAGAGGTTTTTAAAAAAATTCAATCAAGAAATAGAGATAAATACTGGGGCCCCCTCACGGCTAACTTGCCCCGGGCCCCGCAAAACTTTGCGCTGTTGTAAGTGAGTGACTTACTTTAAGGTCAGCAGTGAAATTAACATTTAATTTTTTTATCTATGTAAGAATGTACGCAGCGCCCGGTGGTATTCACGCAGATTCTCGACAGTTATGTCAAGGAAGGTTGGTGAGTGGACTGTATGAATGAATGTAGAATGAATTTTATAATATATAATTATAACAATTAAATGTATAATGTAAAAATGTATAATTATAATTATACATGAATCATAAAATATTATATACACCGAATGGATTGGGAAGACTCTTAATACTAATGTCATAATGGCGCTGATATAAAAAAATGATAAGTTATAAATGTGAGTAAGTCTTAAAATGAAGATGAACAAGCATTATACTTATCGGCTAATTGAAATGGCTGATGATAATGTTGAATATTAAAGGGATCAATTGAAGTGGAATGCAAGTAGCTGATCAGCGTGTACAATATGCTGTGAACGGTACTGTGATGTATTTCAGAAAATGTACAAAACCAACGGCAATGTACTGAGTCCACAAAGGTGTGAATATTGTAAAGGTAATATTTTATTTTTACAACAAAAACGAATACAAAACTATTAGGCCAGTCAACGAAGGAGTAATTTTGGCAAATGGCGGAAAAAATTCC